TAAATTACTTTTAGGTCATCGACAAAAAGAAAAGGTTTATCATTCTGAAAGGGGGAACACACGTCATTGATAAATAGGAGAAAGAGTAATGGACCAATCACACTTCCTTGTATAACCCCACTGGTTACATTCACAGGTTTGGAGTAGCAAAATCCAAAGCGAACGATATGGCTACGTTCTTCTAAAAAATTTTTTAGCCCACATAAAAAAGGATTCTATATGCCAAATGAAGAGAGTTTTACAAGGGGTTTGTATGAGACACTGTCGAAAGCCTTACCAAAATCGAAGTAAAAAATTATCACTGACTGACCAACATATCTTCTCTGGGTAATTTGATCGAAAAATTCCAGATGTGGTGTGAAGCATGAGCGTTTAGTCATAAACCCGTGTTGGGATGTGCAAATCAGACTAGCCGAAAGTAAAAATGATAATAGCTGTTTGTGGATGATTTTTTCCGTAGTTCCTGAGAGCACGGATGTTAAATTATTGGCCTATAGTTAACAATATCACTACGTGATCCTGTTTTGAATCTAGGGTTGATAAGAGATGTCTTCCATACAGATGGATAGGTCCCATATTCCATAGATAGGTTGAAAAGTTCCAAACAAAATAGTGAGAATCCTCTACTCTCATAATTCACAAATGATGAAGGGATTCCGTTAGGTCCACCATCATAAGAATTTTTCAGGCAGCTATGGACTGCTTGACGTTGGAGGGTATAAAATCAATTTTCGATAGGTTTTCGGATGTCAGCATTGAAAATGTTATGATGGAGCTTTAGATGGTGGTTGGAGGTAGTCAACAGGAAAACCTGAACCCGGGTTTCGTGCTACTTGGCACTCGTCAGCAAGGTGTACCTGTAATCTTGATGGAACTGGTGCTCCCTGGCGGATTCAATCTCGTGTCACCCAGTTTCACAGTGACAGACGTTACCACTGAGCTATCTGAGCCTGGATTAGCATGACATTGGTCATCACCCAGTGATCAATCAATTGTGATTACATCTCAGCCGTACAGGAGGTTAGTCTGGGCTCGAATAGCTAAGTGGTAACGTCTCTGACTGTGAAGCTGGGTGACACGAGATCGAATCCGCCAGGGAGCACCAGTTCCCTTAAGATTACAGGTACACCTTGCTGACGAGTGCCAAGTAGCACGAAACCCGGGTCCAGGTTTTCCTGTTGACTACCTCCAACCACCATGTTAACCTCAATACATAGTGCCAGCAGTGTCGAGTCACCTAGACTGGTGGCCACATTGCAACATGATCGATAGCATTCGATCTGCACTAATAAGGACTAGACAAGCATGACATTGATCACCACCCAGTGATCGGTCAATTGCATTGGCAGAGCCTTCAGTTCCAGTTTTGTATCATTGCGAGAACTGCTTGCTGAATTGTTCACAAATAATATTAGGGTCTTAAGCAATGCTTCCGTTAACTATGAAAAATTTAGTCGTGCCAAAGGAATTTGACTTCACACGGAATTCAAAAAGCCGAAGTATTGGTAACTTTGGGCTTTTACTACATAGGTTTTTATTTTCTATATTCATAAAGTACTTGCGTTTAGATTGTTGTGAACGGGGAATTAAGAAGCCCAGACAACTACGAAAGCCATTTTCTTGGGACGTTAATTCATTTCATTCAAACCCTGTAAAACACTTATATTTATATTTGTCCCTATCTTATTCTACATAACATGAGCTTTCGTTCTATGTGTCATTCACTACCATACCCTTTTTTGTTCCGAAAATATTGTAATTTAAACATAATATTTTGCACCGTATTTTCTATCCTATCGTACGTCGTGGTCAAGATATGCATTTATTTATTCATGTACATTTTTGTACTAAGCCGAATTCAGAGAATCCAGAGTTCCGTGTTCCAACTGTCTTGTCTTCTTTCACTTGCGTGCTTGCCAACCAATCAGGTTCAAAAATAGTTATCTCTCTACCCCATCTCGAACTCACGCGTGCTAGACTCAAGGTTAAGCCGCTCACCCTATCGCGTCAAGATCATAATTTAGACTAGACAGATCAAGGTCAAGTCATAACGAGTATCAACGGGGTAAAAGCGATTCAAGGTCATAACATAGATGGAGTATTTCTGTCGACTAAGTTAATTATACTCTGAAGTGCATACACGCCAACGTGAACGCGCGAACTTTGAAAGTAGTATCATTTTTTCACGTGGTTTAGGAATTCTTTGACTTGCTCTTTTGTAGAGTGTATTATACTGTTATTATCATCCTATCCTGTACATTGGATACATCTTACCCCTAAAAATAAGAATACTTTTTTTATTCGACGAACAATTACCAGTTCGTATTGTATCTATTGAGGACTTAAGGGCGAGACTCTAATTTAGGGACGAGCCAATCAGAAGCGTTGTAGAAATTTCAATCAGAAGACGATCTAAAGTAAAAATATATTGTAAGTAATGAATTACAGTGGATATCCTTCATTTACATGATTTAAAAACTTGTTAAGTTTTGATAAAAGCTCAGGAGTTTTGAATTCATAATGCATGTGGTATAAAATCTCGTTCATAGGGTTAGGGTTAGAGGCTAGGGTTTAGGGTTAGGTTAGGGTTAAGGTTATGTTAGGGTTAGGGTGCTAACATGCGATCGGTTTACATCGGATTTTAGAGAAGTGTTTATTGAGAGGCTACAACCTCAACCATAATCCTATGGATCAGTTTCTATGCCATATGTATTATGAATTCAGAACTCCTGAGCTTTTGTCAAAACTTAACAAGTTTTTAAATCATGTAAAAGAAGAATATCCACTGTAAATCATTACTTACAATATATTTTCACTTTATACTATATGTCTTCTGATTGACTAATAATTGTCAAGGTCATTTAGGTTTCGTTCAAAGGTCGTCTTAAATAGGTCTACAATTTATGATATACTCATAGTCTCTAACCCTGGTATTAACCAGGTCAATACTTTTTAACAACTAATACTCAGATATTATATTTTATTTAACGAGCATTATGCTAACCCATCTTCAAATAATGGACAATAACTCCATTAAAAGCGAAATTTCACCAACCTCTAAGCCAAATAAAAGGTCCAAATCTGTAAATCTTATAACTGACGACTCAGTGCCTGTCAATGTCAAACCTTTGACTACTGAACAATACGTGTATTGTACACAAATGTTTCTATCATCACCAGATTCTCCATATCACACTCCCTCTATCTCTATGTGCAGTATGCCAAAGGTAATACTGGTTGACATACAAGACACTATACCTATATGCATCAAAAAGTCAGCACAGTCTACTAGACAGTATGTGCTACCAAGGCCTAAATCTAAAATTTCAAGAACTAACGAGTCTAGTGGTCAATCTCATACACACCAAAATACTGATAGTTTTAGTAATGACATCCGACAGCTACAAAACTCTCTATCCGAAATTAACGGCCTCGATACAGGCAGGAATCTTGAGCAACTCACTAAAGCTGAGTGTATTTTGGAGTTTGTGGCTGAAGAAGTAACGAAAAGGGTGACGGCCTCTCGCAATGCAGTTGTGTATAACCTTCCCGACAGCACACACCCATCTAAGTTAAGGGACATTTGCCTTAGAGCATGCGGTATGCCGAACGTTAACTGCAAAGTCATCCGCCTTAGAAAAAAGTCGGGCAGATCAACTTGCCCCCTCCTGTTTATGTTTGGCTGTTGTAACGATGCTAAGCGGTTTATTGATTCGAGGAAATATATTAGCTCACTAATTCCATACAAGAATATAAAAGTCACTCCAGACCTTGCGCCCTGTCAACGTCGTGTAAGAAGACGTGAAGCGATAGAATTGCATGGAAGTTTCATAGTTAATAATCAGCCAGAGACAGTTTGCAACACAGCAAATAGTTTAAAACACACGAACAATAAGCATGAAACCACTCTACATACGGCTGATCACTCTGTTAATTTAGATGAGTCTACAGATCAGAAATCTTTGGATAAGATACGGACCCCAACTGACACCAAAATTCATAACAACATGACTAATCCCAGCTTTTCACTCAGTGATGTAATAAAATTTGAGTCGTGTGACAACACACATCCAACTAAACCTATACACTTCAAAATTTGTCCTCCTAAATATACCCCACAAGTAGACTTGAATGAACCTAAGTTCATCTAACAGAGACAACGAAAGATTCCAGTGCCGACAATAAAGGGTGCGAAGACAAAACTCACGATACCGAATAGGGAAACACGTAAGATTGAATCCAACTGCTCTATAGGTATCCCAAGAACTGTGAACAGGTTCTCCTCGCTGCTATCATATAACTTTCCTTCAACACCTCTGAGTTGCGAAATGGGTGGTGGGCTTCAGCGTAACAAGCCATTTTACACGCAGACTAACTGAAACTACCAGAGAAGTGGCTACCCAAATCACCCCCTGAAGCCTAAAATCATTAATAAGAATGGTAATAATATGTTTCTCACTTCACACCCTATCTACATTCCCCAGAATTACAACCGTAATTACTCTCAGAAAGAAAACTTTCCACACTGTTTAATACCAACCCATCACATAAAAACGGCTCCCATGTATGATAACAGTCGCAAATCCTTCCAGTTACGCGCCGCAGCCCCCTCTCACGCTAACGTAAATAGTCATAACAAAGGCTACGAGTCTAACCATCAAGACTATTTTGCAAATAACCATACACTTCACAATAGGCCTGTACAATATTTTTTGGAATAAGAACCCTAGTTATTTCAAACCACATGCAAACCATAAATTTATTTCGTCCGTACAGTTTCCATAAGAGAGTACCCCCACCCTTTCCTTCTGAGTAAACTCCCCAACCAACTTCCCTAGCTCATTTGATACATCTCCCACTAAGTCTAGCTATAAAAATACCAAGCTAATGAAGAACATTCAATCCCTCACTTCAAACTCATCTCACACCCGCGAGGGTTACGACGACTTTATCCGAGATACCCTCACCCATCTTAACTTAGTAGGCCACTTGCTTAATATATGTCTTATCAACGCTCGATCGATCTGCAACAAAAAACGGATTTAACCCTGTTTGTATCCATATATCAACCATCACTTATTATGATATCTGAAGCACGGACTAACAGTAATATTTCCGACCGAAGTATATCTCCTGATAACTATTTCCTACATAGAAGTGATAGATTGAATGGACGAGGCGGAGGATGCCTTATTTACGCTCACTCTAGTGATATGCCTGAACTAAACAAACTGAAGGATTCGGTGTGGATCGTAATAAAGGCGTCGAATTCCGTTACCTTACTGCTCGGCTGTGTTTATCGTCAACCTAACGCATCAATAAATGAAATATTATTATCGGAAGTATTCACACTAGCATCATCCCTTTCATTCACAGGCAAGCTTATTTGTGGTGACTTCAACATGCCCGAAATTTCTTAGCTCCCAGTCAAAGCGCCGAGACGTTATGAATAATTTACAGAATGTCTAGAGCTTGGACAATGGACTCAGTATGTCAATAGACCTACCAGACATCAAAACATCTTGGACTTAGTCTTTACCAATGGCCTCATCCCCAATACTTTGTATATTGGAAAAACGCTTCCAGGTAGTGATCATAACATTGTCATATGCAGCCTTGATGTAAAAACCACAACCGGTAGAAGTAAAACTGTAACACTTTGTAGAAACTATCGCAAGGTTGATTGAAATAACTTCCACAATTACCTAAGAAGAAGTGATTGGAGAACTTTTTTTACTGCAAACAATACCGACACATTAACCAATATGTTTTATTACAACGTCAAAAGTATCATCAACAATATCGCACCTTTAAAATACTGCAGACCTACGTTCTCCAAAGATCTTTATATACCGGTCAGTACAAGAAGACGTCTTCAAAAACACTGTACTCGATTCCACAACTTAAATGACTTTTCCTCTTTAGTAACGATGACAGAAATACTTGTCCAAACAGAGGCAATAAGTACACAAAAAGCAGTCGCACAGGAAAAACGTGCAGTTGAACTTAATAATAACTCCTCTGCACTCACCATACTACTCCAAAATAAACTTAAACGTTCTAAATCGAGAGGGAGTATATTCATTAACGGCAAACAAGTAAACGAAGATCCCAAACTTGTCACAGAATTATTTAGTGAATATTTTTGTTCCTCACTAACTAACGAAAAACCATCTAATGATTCCGAACCACTCCCAGTACCTCCCTGCGAAATTACTAATGTAGAATTCAATGTACAAAATATCTCCAAGGCAATCAGTACATTGAAACATTCCTACCCTGATGGACCAGATGGTATTCCATCTAGCATGCTAAAACATGGAGATGATGATGTGTGTGTTTTGCTTCTCAAACTATTCATGATATCACTCTCTACAGCGTCTTACCCTAATGCCTGGAAAACTACACATATCATTCCCAAAATAATAACAGAACTTGAAGCAAACATTGAAAATTACCGGACTATAAACATAACTTCAGTGGTATCCAGAGTGATGGAAAAAGTAGTTAAGGCGGCTGTAGTCCAACATATGCTAACTAATAATCTCATCTCGACCTCCCAGCATAGATTTCTTAGGTCCAGATCATGCGATACATGCCTAGTAGACTACCTGAATGAGACAGCGGACTCCTTGCATCAGTCCTATTCCTAGACTTTTAGAAAGCCTTTGATAAGGTCCCACACAAAAGGCTACTCGTCAAACTAAAGTCCTTCGGAATATACAACCCACTGTACTCATGGCTTGCTTCGTTCTTAACAGAACGTAAACAGATGGTAAAGTACAATGACTGTCTCTCGTCCCCTAGACCAATCACCATTGGAGTCATCCAAGAAAGCGTATTAGGTAAACTTTTGTTTCTTATGTATATAAACGATATATGTAACACCATAGAATTTGGGAGACCATACTTATGTGCTGATGATCTCAAAATAGTATACAGCTATAAGCCTGAGGCACTAAGCGAAAGTGTATCCCAGATCCAAAAGGACCTCAGTAACTTAACTGTCTGGAGTGAGAAATGGCAATTACCATTTAACCTCAACAAGTGCGGGACCATGCATTTTGGGAAGCATTCTTATAAACCGCAACTTCACTTAAATGAAAGTAGAGTCCAAACACTCGAATCAGTACACGATTTAGGAATTAATTACACAGGAAGCCTGAACTTTGAAGAACATGCCTCCTCTATTATTTCTAAATCTAGACAGCTAATTAGTTTCATAATGACAAATTTTTTCACAACAGAGGCTAAGCTTACTCTCTACAAAATGTGTACGGCTCTCCCTTGAATACTGCTCTTTTGTCTTCTCTAATATGAATATCACAGACAAGATAAGAGTAGAAGATGTTCAAAGACGTTTCACACGTCAACTACTAGGATGTAACTCGGATCTCGATTACACAGACAGATGTAAGCACCTCTCTTTAGAACCTTTATGGCACCGTAGGCTAAAGAACAGTTTAATATTTCTCTACAAAGCAATATATGGGCTCTCCTTTCTAACCTGCCCGACTATGACTCACGACCCAACCTATAGACTAAAAAACAACGCATAAACACTACTTACCGTTAAACACCAAAAACAAATGCGTTGTAAGTTTTTTACAGTACGGTACAGTTTGTTGTGGAACAGGCTGCCAATGCCTATCCGAAACTGACACAGTTACCAGATTCAAAAAGTTAATAACCCTATTTCTAGACTGCAAAGAGCTTCAACATTTCCTTGAACTCCCGCCACCAATGAGGCACTTTATTACGGACCGCCTAGTATCTAGACAGAACAAGAATATAACTAACTCGACTGTTATTAATATGAATATAACCAAATAGCAGAATATATGGCTTATCCTTTCCTATTATTCATTGTTTATTGATTATGGTCTTATGCTCCTAACCCTCACTTTCAGTTCTCAAATCTCTCTACAGGTTAAATGTACATTATTCTTCCTAAAAGTCATACTTTTTTCTATTGCAAGTAGACAGATAACTCATTAGTCTTATGGATGCTGATTTATTAAGACCGATCATACAAAGCTCAAAATCTGGCCACAAAGTCTTGTGAGTTTCTTAATGTTTTATTTCTCCTACCCTAAAATCCATTTTTTTCTACAATTTTATACCCTCTCACATCCTTTGATTTGCTATTAGTCCTTACTTCTTTAAACCATTAGTTATCTTTATAGCAGTGTGATACACTATGTGGACATCTAACCCATAAAACAAACTTTTTAACTACCTGATTTGCTTGTAACTTGGACCTAGTAGAGACAGTGTATTCCAACTATGGGCTTTGATTAAAGCAGTATTCATACTTACCACAAACGTAAGAGAGCCTAACATCACAAAAGGAGGGAAGGTGGCGTTACTGACCAGCAAACATGATGGCGGAAAGATAACTTCTATCCATCCAAGTTTGTAGGGCAGAACATTTTGTTTAATAACGGCTCCTTATGGTTTAGTGGGATGTTACGAACTTAAGGTATTAATGCTGATTTATCATGCAAAATACCTCATTAAATCGTGTTACGAATGTTGAATTGGTTTCACTTCCTACCCAGTAATTCCATTACAAACAAACTAGACAATTCAATAATTTACAAAGCCTACTCAAGACCCTATGATACCTAAAAATTAAAAAAAACAATACAAAAAAAGATTAAAAGCGCTCCAACAGCTTCGGTAATAAAAGGAAGATAGTCAATTGTATATCGCAATAACTGTTTTTAGCACTATATTTTATGACCACACATAATCTCATACTTTCAGCTCCTTTCTGAATCCTCTCCATTTGTCAGATGTTTGTCCACTCATACCTTGTTCACACTTATTTACTTTAACCTATTAAAATGCTCTTGCTTAACAAATACCTTAATAAAAGAACATTAGACTGAGTAATCATACCTTAAACATGCCTTCATGAATATTGGCTTCTCTGCCTCTCGTGTTTTCTTTTACTTGCTTCCTCTTTCAGCATCCATTGATATATGGAACGGGTGACTTCATCCTGCACCATTCTTAAAGCCTTAGATATTCCAAAGGGATATAAGGTTGCGATTTCGAGAAGCTCATTCCTTCATCCTTGACCATCAGTTTACCAGTAACACCTTCTAATATAATTCGTACCCACGAAGAGAAATCAAAAGACAGAATCGAGGAGATCGGAAGAGTGTATTTGGCGATAACCAATATATCGGAATTCTCTGATCTAATCTGTCTAGCGATTGGGGTAGATGATGAGCGCAGGGTTACCACAAGTGATCTGGTGCGGATGCATGATAGAGCGCCTTCAGCTAGATGAGTCCACTAAAACATATGGTCAGCATCCAATGTCGAAAACTTACAGAGCTATTTATTTTGGGGATTTACTTACCGCTACAGTTGCACATTCGCAACGCGACTTTCATGAAGCACGCCAACGGTGATACTGACTAAAACCATCTACATCCATATCTTTTAAATTATCAACCCAGCTGAGTAATTTACTACAGTGGGTATTGTATCATTCGTAAAAATTTGATCTTGCCTGTAAACTAGCATGCCACATGTAACAATCTGTTATTTGAGAATAAATTATTATTATTATTATTATTAGTCGTAGTACCGACATTTTAATTTCCTCAGCTTTCTTTTAAAAGTTTTGAAAGTATTCTGGCCCCTATTAGCGACATGGCCAATAACTGGAGCAGTGCAGTCAAGGCAATATATCAGGTTGTGGTATAGATTGGAAAGCGCAATGTCAACATTGTTTGTGGTAAAATAATTTTCCCATGGTAAACATTGAATGAGAGTTTCAGTTCGTCTTCAGGTTTGTTGATCAAAATGTCTGCTCTGGTACATCACTGACGCTTTAGAGTTCAATTGTATGGCGTTCAAACAATGAATAATACTCAATACAACTCTATGATCACCCATAAAAAAGCTCATGACTGATATGCACTGAGATAGAGCCCTGGTCGGTTTTGGAACCTGTTGAACGCATCGACAAATTTCTAGTGTTCCAACTAGCTTGTTTTTCGAACTGGTATCGGAGTCAAATCCCATGTAATTTTTGGCAGATTAAAATCATGAATATCTGAACGGACATAAATAATTGTACCGCCTCCTAATCCATAACATCTATCGGTTCTAAAGAAGACGTAGTTATCTACATGTAAGAAGTGATCGGATATAGATGAATTGCACCACGCTTCCGTAATAAATACAACGGTTGAATTTACAAGGAATGAAAGGGTATTAAGATGAGTAATTTTATTGGACAGAGAGTGGGAACTGCGAGTTCCCATGGTGAAGAAGGTTAGAGTATAAGCTGAAATTGGTAGTTCCATGAATACTCGTAGAATTGGCTAAGGTAAGACTTGTGTTGCGAGGGGAAATACATTCAACCACTTTGTCATCATTTGAAATATGTTTACCGTTG